CTCAAGTCCCCGTTTGAGCATGTTCAAAACGTTTAAAAACAGAAAATATCTGGGTGCCTGGGAACTCCTTTCTTTAGAAGTTTTGTTTTTAGGGCATGCTGAAGGTGTGGGGCAGCCCCTCTCGGGAGAGCATCCAGAAGGACTGGAAGGCCCCATGAAACCCTGACCTGCTATTCAGATACGCCCCATCCTGCCCATCGTTGGAGAGATTCTGCTAGTGGTGATAATACCCACATTTTCCAGAGCCCCCCGAAGTGAAGGTGACTCGCCAAAAGTCATCCACGGAGGACGTGGAAACCCTCGTCTGCCGGGCCCACGGTTTCTACCCCAAGGAGATCGAAGCCGCCTGGACCAGAGACGGGGAGAGCCTGGAACAGGAGACCTTCCGTAGACGTGTGGCCCCCAATCCTGACTGGACTTACTACATCTGGATCTGCATTGACGTAGACCCCGAGGAGCAGGGCCGCTACCAGTGCCGTGTGGACCATGCCGGCCTGTCGCAGCCTCTGGGCTTGGCCTGGGAGGAGCCTGTGGGCGAGAGACAGCTGGGGAGGGCACGGATTGGGGTCTGGATTCTGGTAAGTTGAGCTTCCCCTAGGAGATGGTGGAATCCAAAGAAGAGGCCCGCGTGTGGTTTGGGGTGCAAAGCAAGGGATGTCAGTTAATGGGGGGGGGGTGATTCCTGGCAGGAGTGCTGGAAGATTGGCCCTTGGAAGGAGCAGCTTCCTCTCTGGTTGAGCTCACGGCAGGAACGTGGGTGTTTCAGCCCCTGGAGGCCCAGAGTTAGAACCGGTGCAGATGGCCCTGCAATGCTTTTCTTCATAAGAGTCACACAGGGCTGAATAGACAGTAGAGTCTGGAAGGGATGATACGTGCCTTTCACGGGCCCCCACTTGTGCTGCTGCCCCCACAGAGCTGAAATGTGGTGTTGTTTTGGCCAAAAGATAGTCAGTTTGCCACCAAAAAGAGGCAGCAAAGTGCTCCAGGAACTCTAAATGGCCCTTTCCCCCTTGTTCCCATTTTGGGGAATGTGGGGCTCATAGTGGCGGCTGTCGTAGGAGCTGTCCTGGCGGTGCTTATAATCAGTTTCTGCATCTTTATCTTCATCAGTAAGTAAACTGTTCATGCCTTTGCTGGGCTGCATGTTCACGTGTGTCACTCTGTTGGTGGCCCTCACTAAGACACGGTGGATCGTGGCCCCTCCATGCTAGAGGCAGCCCCAAAACGCACCTGTCCGGAAGTAGCTTCAGGAGCAGGGAAGGATCTGAAGGAAGGCCTTGGGTCGCTTCCACACTGCCCCCTGCGCAGGACCGGCCTCCCGGTGTCCACCCACATTGGAGAGGGAACCCCCAGGACAGCAGCGGCACCCCAAAGACCACCAGGCACCACAGTGCGCCTTGAATCAGGCTCCCTATTTTCTCACCTGGGGTACTGCCTGATAGTGAACCTGTGAAGTCCGGAACAGAAGACCCAAATCCCAGGCGCTGGAAGGCTCTGGAGTGTCTTTGGGTTTGGCCCCTCTTTTCCACTGCCAGGATTTTCACCAGGATCCTCAATATATTTAACTTTAGTGAGGTCTTGGGGATGCTTCTGAAATTTAACAGCCTGCATATCTTTTTTATTACTATTTTAAGGGGCTCTTTCCCCCATGAGCTCTGGCTGGCCCCAGATTCTGGGGGAAACTCTTCCGTACTTCCAGGCAGTCCAGTGCATGACATTGGAAGCCATCTGCGTATTTGTTTGGAAGAAATAGATTTCCAGGGTCCTCTATGTGGATCCTGTCTCAAATTACTGCTGGCAGTAGTCAGAAGAAGACTTAAGAAGAACATGGCTGGGGCTTTCTATGTTCGAAAAGGAAAAGGCAGGGTTCATTGGAAAAGGCAGGTTTCCTCCCGGGGTCCTTCCAGCTCTTATTTTCTAATTCTGTCTCTGCAGAGAAACGACGAACCAACAACTCCCAAAAGCAACCCTCACGTGAGTATCACCTCTCTCTCTGAAGAAATGACCATTAATACTAGCTGACAGATGATGTAGATGGAAAAAACGCAGTTGCCGGCTGTGTATTTCCAGGTACTCCGGCTGCTTCCACGCTCGGCCTCCCTCAGAAGCCCTGTGCTCCCGCCCATTGTCCATTTCAACCCTCCCACATTTTTCCGGTGCTGCTGCCATTAGCACAGTGATACCTCGGCTCACAAATGCCTCAGTTCACCACCAAACCAACTTTGTTGTATGTTGAACAGAGATGCTTGCAAACTTTTGACGACCTCCCTCGTGGTGGCCTCATTCAGAGCTTATCATGGCAGAGGGCAGCCAGGCTTTCCTCTGACTTCAGTGGGAATACGCTTGATTGGAAGATCAGTGGAATGGGAGGATGTTGTAGGAATGTATGCGGAGGTGGGGGTCTGGAATGGCTGCACAGTGGGACCAGGGAGATTTGTTGCAGTTAATTTCGACAAGGTGGCATTTGCCCAGTGGGAGATGTTAAGGACGGGCTTGTGGAGCCCCAGAGTAAGTGGGGCACAAAGGTGTTGTACATACAGCAACGGCTCCGTAAAAGGACCAGCAGCATCCAGAAAAATCTGGCCTGTCCACCTCTCCTGATTGGTGGGAAGGCTGGCTGTGCCATGAGGACTAGCAGCCATGGAGACCTCCTCCTCCAGCCCCCTTAAAACCTGTCCAAATCAATGGCCGTTGCCACTTCCCATGGAGGGGAATTCCCTGGCTCAGCCAAGCTCTCTGTGAAGGAGTCCTTCCCTCGGTCCGTCCTGCATCTCCCAGAAATCCGCTTCGCGGGGGGACCCCTCTGGTTCTCTTATCCTGGGAGGCAATTCCCCTGCCGAGGCCGTTCTGGGCTCCCATGCGCCCCTGGGACACGGGACAAAGAGAGTATCTCCCAGGCTGCTGTTTGCAGTGAATTGAGCTGCAGAGGTGTATGGCTGAAGCGTGTGTCCTGATTAGAAGCGACAAGGAGAGAAGCTGTGTGTGTGAAGTGGGGCCAGGGGAAGAAAGGACTTTGTGAGATGCAACATCCCACTGCAAAACTGTGATACCAATTCTCCGTCTTTGCTCCTTTTGCAGCACGCAGTGAGTCTCTGGAGGGCTCTGATAGCAGTAAGGGTGCATATGATGTGGGGAAAGGGGCTTGGAGGTCCACCCCGAAGGCAGGAGATCTTCCAACAGGGAAAGTGCCCAGAGATTGAAGGGCTTCCTCTTGCCCATGGCCCCACCTGGGGCCTTTCCAGAACCCACGGCCACAGGAGGAAGGATGAAGGCGCCTCGGAAACCCCTCCGTCATTCCCTGAACTCCCCAAGGAGGTCCAGAGCTTGATGGAAGGAAATCCCAGGAAAAACATGGCCATGGCTTGCAGGGGGAGTCCTCGCTGATTGGTCCTAAAGCACGAGGGCAGCAAAATCCTGCTATGGCCCCTTTCAGGCAGGTACCTTGGCAATGGGAGGATCTGGGTTTGTGGAGTCCCCTCTGACTGCAGCAGAGGTGAGACCATCAGGCAGGAACTGCAGGCAATTTCTTTGTATTTTGCGAAGAGTTCAGATTGATCCAGCTGGCAGCTAGAGATGTCTGGAATAGAAGAAATTCCAGCACAGCAGGGGATGCTCTGCGCCAGTTTCTGGAAGGGAGACTGAGTTATTATTAGAATAGATCACCAGTGTATGGCCCATGGAATTAAAGAAGCAGTACCTCAGTCTCCGAATGTACATAAGACTCTCTTTGGAACAAAAGAACGATGAAATTTCATTGGAGTGGCTGGAGTGACTGAAGGAACAGATGCAGGACTTCCGGTATGGCGTTGGAACGACACAGCGCTGATTAACGGGGCTCCAATATCACCCTGGTATTATCTGGTGGTGGGCCGTGGGAGGCATATCTAAGCCCTGTCGGGGCTCGGACTGAGTGCCTGGGGAGTCTTCCAGTTGGGGTGGGGCGGCAACCTCACGTCTACTGGGAGAAAATCAGGCAGTTCTTAGCCGGTTAATACAGGGGAGAGGTTTTGCTCCCCCAAGTTCTCGACATGCCATTAACAGATTAGGAACATAGCTAGAAGAATCGTCAGATTTACTGGGAAGCATTTTTACTGCTTTTTTTTTGCAATATTACCCATGGAAAAGCTGTATTTGTTGCTAATTGATACAAAGGAAAAAGAAAAAGCCCTTTGGATGGAGGAAGTCCCCCCCCCCCACGGAGTACGCGGCGACTGAAATGAAGAGAGACAGAGCTTTTTGTAAGTAGGAAAAAGACTTTTCTTTTTTAATCTCTCCAAGGGCGAAGAATCACAATAAATAATTACTGTGGGATTGAATGATAGAAGGATCTTTCTCGTATGTTGGACTTTTGCCAAGAACTACTAGCCCTCTTCATTACTGTTTCTGGGACCTCTGCCAACGTATTGGGATTGCTGCCAAGTCTTTGTTCTCAAATGACTTAGATTAAAAAGAAGTTGAAAACCCCGTTTTGTTGCCACTTTGGATTGGGATGTGTAATAGATATACTTATTTCTATATCCCTTTCCTCTTTCCTCTTCTTTTCTAATTTGGTTGCTGTTTTGTAACTCTTGGGGGGAAAAAATGGTGTTACTATGGAAGAATTACCGAAGACACTGTCGGCAATACAGACTTCTTTAACAGCTTTGCCATCATTCCAGCAGATGGTACTAATACGGCAGGAGACTATGCTAACTGAACAACTTGAACTTTTTTTAGTTGAACAAAGCAGACGTTTTGACAAAATAGATGATTCCATAAATGAGGCTTTGGGCAAACAAACCAAAACTGAACAGAATATACAAAATATGCAGCAAGCAGATGGAAAATCTGAAACGGTAAATAAAGAAATTCAATCAGAAAAACCAATAAGGAAACTATCATGGGATTTGCTCGTAAAAAAGCAACAAGCAGATGGAAAAATTGGAACGGTGGATAAAGCAATACAAATACAATTAGTAAAGCCAATAAGCAAGTCTTCATGGGATCTACTTGTCATGTTGGAGAAGGAGAAGGAAAAAGACAGCTAAATATGTAAGAGAGTTCAGGTTTATGTGGCTACCAAGAGGAGGAGTTTGGTTTATTGGGCTGCAGGCACTTCATTTGAAGACGTATACTGCCTCATTTCAACAATTTAAAATGAAGCAAGATTTGGCAGAGGGGTAAAAAAAAATAAGAAATTTTGTATTTTTTTTTTAAAGGAGTGATTTAAACAGGTTGGGATGTTTATATGTGACATGGAAAGGCTAAACTACCACTACTGATGATAAAACGGGTGGGCATAAGCAAGATGTGTCAAAGATGTTAAAGATCTGGTCTCTTAGACTAAAGGATGTTTAAGTTTGATGAAATATTAGTAACTTAGCTGAAAGAGAGCTTGTTTGAAAGATATTATAGGTAATAGTTGTTTGTTAAATAGACGAGTTAAGATATTTTAAAGAGGCTAAGTAGTTGTTGGATAGGTGAACACAAATTAATTTTTTTATGTCACAGAGTTAAAATAAGAAAACATTAGTAAATTAGCTAAAGAAAGTTTGTTTTAAAAGATATTATAGGTATTAATTACCATTAGCTAAGATGCCTTTAAAGATGTTAAATGGATGTCTTTGATTTTATTTGTAATTGTGGTAGTGAGGAATTTGTCTAGTGTTAGAAAAAAGATTCTGAATTGTGTAGAAATGTTTAGATTGAACTTGTCATTGAAGAAGAAAGAAGATATTGATTTACATCCAACTTCTTTCCTTTAATATTGGTTAAGTGAAACTGGACTTTGTAAGAAATGGATGGACTGTTCTTACTGATGAAAGAGAAAGAAAATAGTGACTTCAATCACATTTGGAACTTTTTTTTTATTGGATGGAGAAATGGGATTTGGTGTAAATTTAGAGATGTTTTCAAGTGATTATAAACTGATTTAAATATGAATATAGAAGGTTAAAAATATGTAGTAGGGGGTCAACCCAGTAAATCCGATGTATGTAATGATTGATGTTTTTAGTCCTAGTTTAAAAATTTTAATAACACTTAAAAAAAAAGGAACAGATGCAGAAAAATGGGCTCCTGGATTCAGGAAATCCAGCCCTTCAGATATTGCTGAAATGTCAGTTTGCGGGGAAGGTATGGGAATATATCAGGCAGAAGTTGCAGAAGTTAGACAGATGGGAGGCAAGGACGTTGGAAGATTTGTTGAGGGAGGCTCAGGAAGTGAGTGCGAGGAGAGAGGATGAGAAGGAGAAAAGGAGGGTTCAAATGATGGCACAAGTCGTCAGGACGACCAAGGGACCGATGGATCCCCAAATTCAGAGGCCTTGAAGAAGAAACAATGTTTATGGTGGATTCTGGGGCCACACGCTCCACACTAAGCATGATTCCAAAGGGAATGAAATTGGGAAGAGGGGAATTGGTGGCTCCAGGAGTGGGAGGTAATCTGGTAAAAGTGAAACTCTTTTACCTGAACCTGCTCAGGTGAAACACTGTGTGGTGCGATTTTGTATTGGTGGAGGGACATTGTAACTTGGCAGGGAGAGATCTCCTAGCCGGACGAGGACTTTGGGTAGAAGGTGCTGGAGGCGAAGAAGAGAGGAAACTAGCGAGGAGACTGATTCTGAGTTATCTCTAAAACCAGCCCCACTGCTGCTGCTGCTGAGGGTTGGAAGGGAAACTGAACACTTTGTGCTTACAGGCTTGGAGGAAAAGGGGAGAGGAAAGGGGGGCCTGATGCCTCTCCCTGCGAGGATTTATTGCATTGGGCTCTGGGCTCGAGCGGGCAGGCCGTAACTGAAGAGCAAGAAAGGGCAGATGCCACTGTGACAGGTTCTGCCTGGGTTTGTGTTTGTGTTTAACAACCATTTACCACCTCTGAGTTGTATAATCGGCAGACTGAGAATCCTCGTTTTCCCTTCCCTGTCTCCACCTTCTCAGAAATTCCCGGCTGCTGTCTCCCTTTGAGTTGATGAGTGACCCAAGGAATGCAAAATCTTTCAGAGTTTCAGTTTTTTCACTGTTAACAGTCAAGTGCTGCAGAT